GAGTGCATACTGCTGTTCCTTGTTTGTTAATTTCAAGCCTCTTTGGGCATTCAGCCCGGCGGACTGCAACAGTTGACAGCTGGGGCTGCCATCGGAGGCTCGGGCCGTGCTCTTCTGAGCAGGCAAACCTTGCAAGCTTTAATTAGGCAGCGCACGCCACTGATTGCCATGAAATGAAATGAAAATGTATGTATGTATGTATGTATGTATGTATGTATGTATGTATGTATGTATATAAGCATCTCGGCTCCATGGAGTGGAGTGAAGCGGCCCAAGTGGCCGACTTGAGGTGTGGCTTTCTTCGTGTGGGGGCTGTCCTGTTCTGGGGGCTCCACGGTTTTTGCCAGGAGGAAGAATTTCGGTGTCGGGTTCAGGGCCTCAACATGCCATGGCATCCTCTTTGCCTAAGTATCTGCGCTCTTATCATGGCTGCAACAAGATACCTCGGGATTTCTGGGAGCCCGATCCATTACAGCGACACGTCAGGGAAGCAGTGGAGCATAGGCTGTTCTTTGCTCTTTGGGCCCAGCAATCCATACGGCTACAGTTGGACTTCAGATGCAGATGTGAACGGCGTTGGCGACAAGCCTCCTCATACATCATTTTACTGGAGGGCTGGAGCCTGCTCATCAGCGATCAGGATCGACTGGGCTTGCTTCGCTCTGTCAGTGGGTTTGATCTGGAGTTTGGGTCTGCTATGTTTACAGCACTCTGCATGCATCAGAATCCTGAACTGGACACGTTGGATTGAGAAACTCTCTGGACGTGCTAGCAGGCGATGCCAGTCCATCCCAGGTGCCCTGTCCAGGACCCTCCGAGGTGCCCGGAAGCTTGTGCGGCAAAGGTCACAGCAAGGACTCCACACGAGCACCTCGATGTGCCTGGAGCAGGCGCTGGGTGCTTGTCTCCTTCCACTCATGATGACATTGGCCGTACTCAGCGGCACCATATATGTGTTCACCTGTGGTGTTCTACAGGCTGCCCGGAGACAGCAGACTCATCATGCCAACATCCAGTGCCCTCAGCTGATCGTTCCTAACACTTGGGTACTGCTTGCAGCGGTTCATGCTGCATGTGTAACCTTGTGGCCTCATGTTAGGCACTTCTGTCTTTCCAGGAGGGCTCAAGCTTTAGCAGCAGCTGGCAGAGGGTGGCACGGTCTCATGACTTCGAGCATCAGGTCGAAAAAGCAGAAAGGCACCACCAGCTCTTCAGAGGAATACGTGACTGTGTTGGTGGAGACAGACACAGAGGCGGCTGGAAATGACGACAATGACGAGGCCGACAACGACTCTGGAGAGCCCAGAGTGCCAGTCTGGGACTGTGGCCCCATTGCCCAAAGGGTCGGACGGGCGGTTGGAGAGGCCTTGGGCCTGAACGGCCCTGCTCTGGCTCACGTGCCAGGAGACTGGCGTGCACTTAGAGGAGTTGTGATCACTCTCCATGCCATGCGCCCGAATGAGCAGTTACACCCCGGTGTTGTTTCGTGTGGCAGTCATGCCTTACGAACTGAGCAAGAGGCTGAGGACGAAGAGCGAGAACTCCAACGGATGGCGGAAGACAGTGAGGGCCTAGTGGATGGCCCCATGTTTGGCCTCAGCTCGAACCCTGACTACTCACAACGGCCTCCAAGGGTGGGCCCAGGATCCTCTCCGCCCATTCCGGATCCAGCTATCACCAGGCAAGCGACAAGGGCCAGATCCTCGAGAACGCCAGCCACGGCCAACAACAAGTGCGGGACTCAATTGGATCAGACAGGCTGGTTGTTGGAAGGGCCCAACTATCAGCCCGCGCACAGCTCCTTTTGTAGTAGCTGCTGTTACTCAGGCGCGGCAGAGATGAGTGATCTACTCTATGAGAGGGGGTGTCAAGACATGCTAATCAGGCCACTCTTTAGGACTGCCACCGGTCAACGGTGGCACCTTGCTCGGACACCGTGCCAGTCAGTTGCATTAAAGCGGGCTGTCGAAGATGGCACCACCCCAGCTGCACTCTTCCCGATGTCGACAGCGGAGCTGACGAAAATGGCCGGAGTGCTACATGCAGGTGAAAATTGCTACATCTTCCTGGCTTCAGCTCTGTTCACACTGCGAATGGCCAGGTACAGTATGACGACCTCCCTGCGAATCTGGCCGGCGGCCTTATATATGCAGACTGTCGGGATTGCCTTGTCTGCAAACATCCTCGTTGTCCTGATAAGGCTGATCCTGCCACAGATGTTCCACATGGGCAAGGCGCAGCCACAGCTTGGGCTGGGCACTCAGCCTGACCTCCCGCACAGCCGGTGCCCCTCGCGAGTTTCAGAGCACCATCCTGAGCGACCATCCCCAACAGATGCACAAACCAGTGCAGATCATGATGATGTACCACGCTCCCTCATGAGGACGACGTCTCTTGCTCTCACTCTGCAGGCTCAACACCAGCCCGAGGCCCCTAACATAGCAGGCGCAATGACCGATGACACCAGGCCTGAGCACCACGAATGACTCCCAGCCTGGATCTCCGCCTTCTCTTACCTCGGAAGGACCCATGCCCCCGCCTGGCATGTTGCACGATCCACCTCGAGGTCCACCTCCCGCTCAGAGGATGCAACCGGAACATGAGGTCTCCCTGCGGATCTCAGGTGCTGTTGCCAATGCCTTATATAGCAGTGGACATTTCCAGTTGAGGCGCATCGTCACCGTCCTGCCTGAAGGGTGGCAACTCATGCCAGGAATGCTTTTGACGGCCAGGAGGCTCACCCCGGCGGACCATGCCCATCCTGGTCTGCTTGAGCTCGCAGATACTCCGCTGGAGGCTGGGTTGTCCGCTCCGGCTCATGATGAACCTGGTGCCATTCATGTACCAGAGGAGGAACTAACAGATGTGATGCTGGAACTCTTTGAGGAGGGATCCTTGACCGAGCTGCTGGAGGACGATACGGCGCTACAGGCTGCCATACAGAGGTCCGCCAGACAGAGCGGCAGGCTTGAGATCTCGGACGCACCCACAAGGGCCAAGGCCAAGGCCAAGTCGGAGGCCACTTCGGGCTCGACTACCAGTCGCAAGCCGGGACCTCATTTGCTCCACAGCCTGGCCTGCATCATCGATGTCGCCGGCAGGGTGGGAATTAACATCATCACTCTTGTGCTGCACACCATTGGCACCTGCCCAGGCGATCCCTGGAGCCCTCCTCGCACTGAGTCACCCCTCTGCTGGACTGAGATAGGACTACAGAATGCACGCATCTTGATGCCCCAGCAACCTATCTCACAGCCCTGGTACTCCCGGGCAGCAGTCCAATCGACTGTACAAGACAGGCTAAGCTCAGCTACCAATGGTTGGGCCCAGATCGATCCGACTGGGATGATGCTGGTGAAAATCGTCGCCTGCATACTGTCTGGTGTCCCCTCTTTGTGCACGTTGCTGTCAATGAGCGGAATAGCCAGGTACCATCGACCAGCCTCACATCGAACAAGGTCGGGTCCTGTCTCTCGCTGGCTCTGAGCTTGATTATAACCTGGTCGTTTCTGTTCACGCGCATGCACACGCTCAGGCTCGAAACCATCATCCGGCTGCTCCTGATGCTCCTGGCACTGCACCTCCTGCCTGTACACCTCCCGAGCTTGATCCTCAGACTCCGACAGTGCCCTCAGCCTTCAATTATGCCGCCACGCAGACAGACGTCTACTCTGCCCTACCTGTCCGACAGCAGGAGCCGCCCGGGTCCCAATTCCCGGGGCTACAGTCACACCACCTCTCACAGATGGACATTGATGATCATGCTGCTTTGCCAACTCGTGCAAGCAACAAGAGCGACTGTAGCAGATGCGAGGGTTAGGTTTCCCCAGCACCCAGGGAACCTTGAAGCCAACCACAGGCCTACTCTTCCCCAGATCAGGGCGAAGCCAAGCGGTGACTGGAGACACAGCATCCGGCACACAGGTGAAGCCCAACCAGTTCGCAAACGAGCTTTTCGACGAGCACTACAACGAGCTCGCCTCAGCGAAACTCAGTCCACCATGTACAGAGGACGCAGACTTTTTGCACGATCACCATTGAATTACCCGAGTGGCCCACAGGCTGCGAAGACCGCGGCTTCTCATACCGCTCTACCTCGACTACGAGTGGTCTCCTGGAATGCAGGCGGCCTTGCTGGACATAAATATCAGGAATTGCTCACGTGGATGCAGCTTGAACATGAAGCCAATCGCACAGTGGACATCTGCATCTTGGTGGAAACCTGCTGGCAGGACCACCTCGAATACACCACATCATTCCAGGCACCGGGCTTCATGAATTGGCACGTGGTGCACTCCTCTGGCAAGGACCGTACAGGGGTGCTGTGCATGATCCGCAGTAGCCTCATCTCGGCATATCGCATTCGCACGGCTGAAGTAATACCAGGCAGACTTCTTCACCTACGCCTGATGTTCCAGGCACCACTAGATCTCCTTTGCACCTACCAGCATGCATGGAATCTACAGAACAAGGCCCTCCGCGGACCAGACAAGACGGATGCCATGCTCAAGCTTCGAAGGCGGGTCTGGGATCAAATGGACAAATGGCTCAGTTCCATACCGCAAAGCCATGGGTGTGCGATCATAGGCGACCTCAACCAGTCTGTGCCGGCAGATCCCCCAGTAAGTGGACCAGGCCTGCCTGTCTCGCACTCACCTCCTCACCCTGACCAGACAGTGCTTATGGACATCCTGCGAGCGCACCAGTGTTGCATACTCAACACATGGGGCAGGCCCGGGCCCGCCAGCCGCACCTATCTCTCTCCAGGTGCCAATCAACAACAGCTGGGGACTCAGATCGATTTTGTCATCGTCCGTGGCCAGCTGATTGATACAATCTCTAAACAAGCTGCTCCATTTGATGCTCCGTTCGTACCAGTCACCGGCTGCCGCCACCGCCCTCTTCGTGCACTGCTGCCAGCTCCTAGACGTCCGCATCGCGACCCTGATCGGAAGGGACCACCACCCCGTCAGGTCCAAAAGCTGCTACGCCAACCTGAAGTTGCGCAACACCTGCATGATCTGGTGGCACCGCACCTACAACAGGCCTCTGGGGATCAATCCCTGGACTCGATCCTTCTTGCAGATTGGAAACACACCAGTGAGGCCCACCAACCACGACTCCACCAGGTTGGATCTGGTGAGGCGGGTGACTACGCTGGAACACTCACCAATCAGGTGCGAGGCATGTGGCTCCTACGGGCTCATCTCAAACATGTGGGCCAGCGGCCAGGACCTTGCCAGATGGCGGAGGTCGGGAGCCCCCGCCCAGGCTCTCTTCCGTATGTGGTACTTCACCATTAAGCTGCAGGCTCACACCCGCGCCCTGCGAAAGGCCTGTCGGCAGAAGAAGACGGACGCTGTGGCCGAGGTGGTACGATCCTCAGACATCTACGCCGCAGCACAACGATTCGCCCCAAAGGCACCCAGACGGCGACTTCAACTTCGAAGAGCAGATGGCCGCCTCCAAACCCATGAAGAGGAGTTTCAACAGATCACCGACCACTTCCAGGCATTGTACGATGGACCAGACATGGCAACCCCTTGTCTGCCAGAGGACATTGATGTCACGGCTGAGGAGATCCAATCAGCCCTTCAACGCCTTCGTCCGGGGAAAGCCATGCCCTCAACAAGTGCACCGGCAGCACTCTGGAAGCTCTTCGGCCCGGAGGTCGTCCAGTCTCTGAGACAACACTTCGCTCACTTTTTGACGGCTGGCTGCTCGTCTCTCCCTCAGGAGTGGAATGTATGTGAGTTGATACTCCTCCCGAAGCCTCACAAGCCACTGAAATCACCATCACATCTGCGCCCGATTTGCTTACTTTCCCTCCCGGCAAAGATTCTCGCTTCGGTGGTGGCAGGTCGATTACAGCCGTTTGTGACCTCTTTCCTGGACAGCCAGCCACAGTTCGCTTACGTGCAGGGTCGCACACTTGCACAGTCTCTGGAGAGAGTACTAGGACATTGTGCCTCTGTGAGGACGCTGGTACAGCAACAAGCCACCACAGTGCATGCACGGCGCCAAGGGTGTCAGTCACTTAAACTTTATGGAGGTTGCCAGCTTTCATTAGACATCTCCTGTGCATATGATCATGTGCCGAGATGGGCCTTGGAATCGGCGTTACGCGAAGCTCAGGTGCCAGAATCACTAACCCAGCTCGTCCTGTTGATTCACCATCAAGCTACCATCCGCATACGACACTTTGACCAGGAAACCTACATCAAGCTTCGTCGTGGTCTACGACAAGGATGCGGATTAGCTTCGCTGTTGTGGGCACTCTACAGCGGCTGGCTGCTCAGACGGATGGATGATCCTAACCTTCTCTCCGTGGCTCGCTCTGCCACAGTCTATGCAGACGACCAACACTACTCATGGATCATCAGGAGCAGCTCTGACCTGGAACATGCCTACAAGGCGATCCGACACGTGCTGCAGCAACTCAGACAACATGGATTGTGCATAAGCGTGGACAAAACTGTCATCTTGCTCGAGCTGAAAGGGTCGCTGGCAGCCAAGCTCTCTGCCAGGTACGTGGTTCACACAGAACAGGGACCACACATGAAGTTTGTGATCGGTGGCCACACCCTCCTTATCAAGTTGGTGCCTAAGCACACCTACTTAGGGGCGATCATCTCATATCACAAATTTGAGTCGGAGACCTTCAGGCATCGCCTAAACATCGCCAAAGGCTCATTCACGAGGCTGCGAGTGATTCTTCATAATCGATCAGTTCCCCTGAAGCTGCGACTTCGCCTATGGCAGGGTTGCATCTGGCCGGCCATCCTTCATGGCCTGGACTGCACTGGTCTGCTTCCGGCAGACTTCCAGGCGTTGCAGAGCCAGCTCATCAAGCAAGCCCGGTCCATTGCCAAATCCTTCTCCATGTTCACCAGGGAATCCAACTACGACTTCCTCAAGCGGCTGAAGATCGATGACCCAGTCCGGAGACTCAGAAATGCCATCAGACGTCGATACCAGCAAGATGACCAACTGGGCCCAGGCTTGACCCCGGGACCAGAGCAGCTACAATGGCGAGCATTGGTGAGTAGCATGCTGTTTGACACTCCTAGCACGTGGCAAACCCAGACGAAGCCCACTCCCAGAACCCAGCTGATTTGTGTGCAGAATGTCCTCAATGAAGTCTTCACATGCCTGGAGTGTGGGCAGCAGTTTGTGACGGCCGCAGCACTCAAACGCCACACGTACTGTATGCATATGGACCAGCGACAACAAGATGAACGAAGCAAAGCGACACAACAGGCTCGCAAACACTCTCCCATGGAGCATTCGCACCAGGGGATGCCACAGTGCCGCCACTGCATGTACAAGTTCACTACGTGGCACGCATTTTTCCACCACGTGTCGGCGAAGTGTTGTGCTTTTCTCAGAGCCATTTACAACACTGACAACCCGGAGGTTACCATCTTGCCACAGTTAAATGATGCCTTGGTTGACTCCCCGGACATCATCGCTTTAGCTCGAGATTGCTCTTGGCAAGACCTCGCAACCCTCCCTCAGGTACGAGCCAAACACCATCATTGTCTAGAATGCAACCACTGGAGTGTTCGTCCGCAGTATGTCCGTCGTCACATGCAGGCCAAACATCCGGAGCAAGACACCATGATACAAGAGTGCATTGCTGACATCAAGAAAAGCAACATCAGTGTCGCGAATCCTTGTCAATTCTGTGGCCAGAGCTACTCCAGACGGGATGCTCACTTGCGATCGTGTGTAGGCATTTTTAATGGTGTCTATCTCCATCGACGTCTTGCTCGAGGCAGACACCTTTCTCTAGCAGGATCATCGGCCCACAACACAGGACCCTCGGTCAAAGATCATGTTTGGCACGTTCAGCGGGGAGATCCCGGTGCCCTCCGAGCTGCGGGAGGCCACCCAAGAGCTAGACACGCTGAAGGCTCTCCTGCCATCTCTGCCCCAGACGTTCGCCATGGACCTGGAGGAACAGGAGGGCGACCACAGACCACCGAAGTGGCAAAAGCCAGGCCCCAAGGGCGCACCAAACGGAGGCAAGGGCAAGAGACAACCACCACCAAGGGGGCCTCGATCAAGCAACTCCTGGAGAGACAGCGAATGGCAGGGCCAGCATCCACCGACACAGTAGAACTGGGAGCCTCGTCGATCAAACTGGACCCAACAGGAGGATGCACAGGCCAAGCAGCTGGCGGAGCTCAAAGCCATCATCTCCATGCTAACCACGTTGGTTCTCCGACAGGAGATACAGTTGAGTGTGAGCCGGCAAGACACGGCATATGTGGTGTTTATCAAGACCCAAGGCCAGGACAATCTTGCACAGAGCCTTTACTGCATAGGGGACCAATGGCACCAAATGAAACAAAGCAGCCCCGAGAAACTCAAGGCTCCCATGCGCGCGGTTCTCTTCCAGCACTTCGTCGAGACCATCAAGCTTCGGTTCCACCAGATGCTGGCCTCGCCGTCGTCACGATCCCAGGCACAGGAGCTGGGGCTGATTTCAGCCAAGGACCCCCTGATCCCGGGACTTCGGTGGGACCCGGCGGCCAAAACACATGTGCAGGAGGACCGTATCGAGCCGCTACGACCGGAGGAGATCACAGCCTCGCTGGACAGACTCCTGATTCTCGCCTCCAAGGAGTTTGTGGTGACCAGATTTCACGGGATGAGGAAGCTCAGCGAGGAATACACGTCCCCGACCCTGGGGATGTTCCTGGAGATCGGCAATCGCACCAGCGAGGCACAAGAAGCCTGGGAACTGCTACACAAGCTCACCCAATCGGCGGCGTGGATGGCGGGTGGCTGCTATCTCCGCCACGAGCGCCTGCAGCTGAGTGCACTGGCGAAGAGGCTTGCAGCAGTGAGCAGGTGAAAAGCATGCGCTTAGGCAACACCAGTAATTTCTGTTATGCCAATGCGCTGTTGAAGGCATTGATCTATGCTGCCTGCCATGTCGGATCGCTTTCTACTGTTTTCGAGTCTGGTTCTTGTCAGTTTGTCCGAAACTTGATCAAGCGATCCAACACCACGGTGGTGCACCTTTGGAGCCACCCCATGTGGGTGGCCCTCACACGAGGCTGGCGTCGCCCCGGTGACCAACATGATACTGCTGAGTTTCTTCAGTTTCTGTGCCAGGGCTCGTTACTTGTTCGTTCTAGCTTAGAGACTGCTTGGCAAGCCCGAGCTCTACAGGGCACCGAGTGGTGCATCAAGGACTCTGGGCAGTCAGCTCTCCTCCTGTTACCTTCCCCGGGTAATGTCCAGGATGATCATACCTGTGTGGTGACTGCCCAGAGACTGCTTAGCTTGTGGCAACAGCAGCCGAACCTACATGCCGCGATCTTCCCGGCTGCAATACTCGTCCTGCAAGTGTGTCGCTTCCATTTTGAGGCTGATAACCATGTCGCGACCAAACGTAGGTATCAAGTCATTCCTGACTCGCTGCTTGCGCTGCCTTGCTTCACTGGGATTGATTCGCAATGTCGCGAGGTGTGGTACCAGCTTAATTCAGTGGTGATCCATCTGGGCGAAGCCCCAACAAGAGGCCATTACCAAACGATCCTTCAGGATGAGACTTGCGCTTACCTGGCTGATGATGGCCGGGAAGCGAAGAGAGTCTCTGACACCTTTCTTGACAGTACTCAGAGGGATTCCTACTTGCTTATCTACATTAGAAGCTAATGGCCTGTCCCGCTTTTGGGTATGCGTACAGGGGACACTTCCTTTCATTTCTGCATTCTTTAACTGGTTGGGCGGAGGATGTGCAAGGCACAGCGCAGCCGGACCATTAGGGTCTGTCCTCCTTTATCGTAGCAAAGACGGACTTTGCAGCGTGTGAAAGTGAAAGTGAAAGTATGTATGTATGTATGTATGTATGTATGTATGTACGTACGTATGTATGTATGTATGTATGTATGTATGTATATATATAATATATATATATGTATATATATATAAGGTTTAGGGTTTCAGTCCCAATCCAACTCCTCGTTGCTGAGTCCACCTTCTGATGCAGAAAGATTGCGATTGGGCGTTCGTGTTGAGGGGTTTTGCAGTTGAGGGAAGGATAGCCGGCTAGCCTTCCGATAGACCATGGTAAAGACTCCTAGAATCGGGCCCTGTAAAACAAACCATAGACTTGGGCCTTGGGGCATGTTCTAGTATATACGGGAAACGAGTGGCATCAGGGAGTAGTATTACTGGACATTCCGACCCGTTCATTGCAACAGCCCCCCAACATCTACCTCTGAGCTAATACAAGTGCCCTAAAGTGCCCTTAGATTCCCTGACCAGCCTGACCCCTAAAACCTGAAACCCCAAAGCCATCTCTGTCTTCAAGTGGCGTGAGCCCGAGCACCAGGACCTTTGATCAACGCTTGGTCTAGGCTTTGGGTTTGGGGTTTAGGGTTTAGGCTTTAGGCTTTGGGTGAGGGATGGGCTTGCAGTAGAAGCCCAAGTACCTACCAGACTGGGGTTTTGGCGGTCTTGTCCCATATTTTTCGGGGGAAGCCTACAGTACAGATTGATATTACAGGCAGACCCGGCACGAACATTCCCTAACCCCCCAGGTACCTACTATATAGGGTTTTAGGGGCTNNTACCCTATATAGTAGGTAGCTGCGGGTTAGGGATTAATGTACAAGCTTCCGTGTTGCTGTCGCTACCCTAGGCCCTAGAACAGCGGTTGTTGCGGTACCAGGCTAGTCTGCCACAACGCTGAGCACCTCAGCAGGTGTCAATCCATCTTGAGCTTTTAGATTAGGATCTGAAGGTAATGAGATAATCTGTACTTTAATATATAACGTATACTAGAATATGTTACTAATATATATATATACACATATA